ATCGCTGGGCTTTTAAGATGCGCAAATTCCCCTTTTTGTGCCAGACCTGCAGACAGCAATCTCCTTGAAAGCAACATTTTTTTTTTCATTTCTCTTGTCTCTGATGCTAACAGTGCACGGCACAGAGTGGGTGCTTTAAAAATGTGTGACGAGTAGGTGAGTGGTTGGATGGGTAGATAGATGGATGGATGGATAGATGGACAGACAGATGGATAGGCAGGAGGCTGGGGTGGGTGGGTGAGTAGGTGGATGCATGAATGGATGGACGGATGGATGGATGGGTTAAACAAGTGAATAGATGGATGAACGGATAGGTGAGTAGGTGGGTGAGTGGATGGATGCATGAATGGATGGATGGACAGACAGTTGGATAGATGGATGGATGGACGGACAGATGGATAGGCAGGTGGGCGGTTAGGTGAGTGTTGGATAGATGGATGGATGGATGAACAGACGAATGGATGGGCAGGTGAGTGGGTAAGTGAGCAGGTAGATGCATGGATGGTTGGATAGTCAGGTGGATGGATGGATGGATGGATGGATAGTTGGTCAGATGGATGGATGAACAGATGGACAGACAGGTGGGTAGGTGGGTGTGTGGATGGATGAACAGATGGACAGACAGATGGGTAGGTGGGTGTGTGGATGGATGAACAGATGGACAGATAGGTAGGTGGGTGAGTAGGTGAGTGAATGGATGGACAGACGGACGGACAGAAGGACGGACAGACGAAGAGAGACAAATGGGCAGGTGGGTGAGTAGGTGGATGGATGGATGGTTGGTTGGAAAGACAGGTGGATGGATGGAAGGATGGATGGGTAGAGCGGGCAGATGGATGGATGGATGGAGGGAGGGAGAAGGCAGGCAGGCTATCCTGGTGACTGGCAGACAACAAAATGGCTAGGAACACAAAGGCTTTCTGCTGCTCTTCTGGTCCCCACCTTTGCTGTGTCCAGGCATAAACCAGATGGCAGTGCCTGGGCTGTGGGGCATGTTCCACCCAGGCTAATAGGAAATGGGGGCAGAATGGGGCACAGCACCCTTGGCATGCTCTCCCTGCATATGTGGTAGGAAGTGTGGTTTGGTCCCCTTCCCTGATGCCATTGTGGATTGGCTTTTTGTGACTTGGCTGAGCTTGTGCATGGTGCCACCTGGGTGGTCTTCCAGGCCTCACCAGCTCTTACCTGGGTGCTGCAGGCCTCCCCAGCACCTCCCACCTGTCTTGCTGTTCTTGAGAGTTCCTGCTCTCTACTAGGGAATAGAATGTGCTTTCCTGCTGTTTAATATTTAAGTCTATCATGTTTCAAACAAAGTGCAAGATAACGCAGTGAGGACGCACCCTCCCAGCACCCAGCTTTAACCTCAGCTTTCAGTCATAACTAAACCGTTATGTTTAAAAGAAACACAACGTGGGAGATGGCGCTGCAGCCCCTGCCTGACTTTGCCCTCCTGGAAGTCAGCCTGCGAGACTGGCATTCTCAGCAACTCAGGAACCAGGGAGCAGTGGCCACACAGCAAGCTTACGCTTTCTGCCCCTGTTGACCTATGCTGCTACTAAGCCACACCGGCCTTCAGGGCTCCTCTTGTCAAATTTATCCCAGGTGGCTCCAGGTCTTATGTCCCCTCTGCTATCGGGAGCTCGTAGGCCACTGTGTGAAGGCTCAGATCCCTCACCTCCTGGTGGTGGGTGCTAGTTCCAGCCCCAGGCTATTTTGGACGAAGCCTCAATAAACACTCTGTGCCCAGTGAGCGACTTTGGGAGAGAAGAACTGCTGGGGTGCAGGTAGCCCCATCCTAGATAGACCCGTCCCCATCATAGGACCCAAACACAGACACTCCACAGAGGGGTTCCCAGACCCTGCACAGCGCAGCCCTGGGCCTCTTGCTGCGCTAAGTTACATTCGTGCTTCAGACCCACCAGGCACTGCCTCCCCCCAGGCTTTCTGCATCCTGCTCCAGCCATCTAGAACTTTCTCCCTTCTTCCTCACCACCCTCTCCCTCTGCCTAGCTGCTGATTCTTGATTCTGTATGAGAGTCACCAGAAGTGACCCTCTGAGGGTCCCCTCCCAGGGAGATGTTCATTGTCATTTAGGTGCATCCTGTTCCCAACCAGGCAGGGCCACCCCTGTCCCATTCTTGGGGCCTGATCACTCAGACAGGAGGACAGAGCAGGGAATGACCAGCCTCCATTCCCTAAGTAGGTTTTTATCAAAGTATGACTCATGCAGGAAAATGTACTCTTCATGCAGAGAACTGTCCTGTGAAGGGTTTTGTGGGATTTTAAAAATATGGTCTCTTTTTGTGAGTGTCGTATGAATTCAACAGTCACGGTTGACAATTCCATTGTCCCCCAGATACCCCACTGCCCCTTTGTGATTGCCTTAGCGGCCACTGGTCTGCCTTAGCTTTTTTCTAGAACATCATCTAGATGCACCTGTGGGGTGTGGCCTTTGGAGTCCATAGCCAGCATCTCAGTCACGTGTCAGGAACTGTGGACAAAATAGCAGTAAGTCGCGAGAGACTTATGTTAAATGTGGGCCTTTATATAAACAAGTACGTCTCAATACAGTTTAATAGCCACTCTTTTTTTTAAATGTCAGATTCATGCCACATTTACTTAGCGGCAGTCTCATGGCAGGCCGTTCCTTGTGACAGCCCTGTCCATAGCTGTCAGGTGGGGAGACCAGGGGCCCCTCCAGGGTGACCAGGAAGGTCCAGCATCATTGCTGTCAGCAGAGCCGCCATGACAGTGGCCCTTCCCAGCCCAGAACTTCATGCCCAGCTTCAGACGCCTCCCCTTGTCTTGTGTAATCGCTGCAGAGCCTGGAGCAGAGCCTCTTGCCTTCCAAGTGGGCCTTACTGGGGTGGGAGTGGGGGGGAGAAGGAAGCCATGTTTCCTCTGTGCTGTCCAGAGCCACACAGGCCACTGCCCTCTCCCTGCCCAGGTCCCCAACAGGACCCTGGGCTTGGCCTGGTCATGCTAGTTCTGCTAGTCCTGCCACCAGGACCACAGTACTTCCCAGAAGCTCTCTGGAGGGCTGGCCCCATGCGTGCTCCAGGCTTCGAACCCACAGTACCTGGGGTGGGCTCAGCCTTTGTCTGCAGCCATGGTTGGGCGCTCCGGGGGACGCCAGCCGTGTGTGCTGAGTGCCCCCCACCAGTTCTCTCTTCCAGGCTGAGAATTCCTAGAAGAGGGAACTGTGGGGCCCCTGGAGGTATTTGGTGAGCTCTGCCTGTGCAAACGCCCAAACCAGGCAGGGAGGCAAGGAAGCCTCCAGCATCCGGGGTCTATGAGCCAGGCGGCCATGCTTTCGACCTTGCTGTGGGTTAAAGGACACAAACCTGAGGAGAAATCTGTTTATCATGTGGGGATTCATGCTGTCTCTGACAGTGCACAGGACCAAGATGGATGATCTGCCAAATTGGTCCCTCGCATGGGTGAATCAGGGCAAATTTACAGTACGATTCCTTCGCTGCTTCAGATACAAAAACAACATTTGCTGGGTTTTATATCCAGTTGTCTGGTGACCCGGGGGTGAGCAGAGAAAAGCAATCCGATTTGTAGGATTCATATTGCCTTAAAGATGGATACAGACCATCTCTGCCTGTCACGTCTGTCTCTTTTACATTTCTCGCAAACCAGTTTGGTTGTTTTTTTAACCTGATTCTCCAGGCTGGGGACACAGCTTTCTGTGATGGGGGACTTTATACTCGTTCAGGACAATAAGCAGGTTTATCAGGTTGAATTTTAGCTGTCTTACCTGGGGTCTTGGGGTTTCTAGGTATCCACATAGAGCGCACCTGTCACTTGGAATACAGTCCCATATGGGAAATGAAATCAAATTCTTCCCACTGTGACATTCCCTCTTTAGTCAGGGGACAGTTTGGGAGTGTCTGCCTACGTGCTAATGTTCCCAAGGGGCCTGCTGGGGCCTGAGGGAGTAGCAAGAAGAAGACCTTGAGGCCCAGCCCTCTATGCCAAGCCACATGCGTGGCACTGAGGGGCTCGCCACGTGTGGGGCTCGGTGGGGTGGAGACTATGCCAGACCCCAAGCTGGCCAGGGCAGGCTGGCCTTGTGGGTAGGACCCCGGTGCTGAGTCATCTCACGTTTCCTCCCCAACAGTTCTTCTCTGTCTTTGGAAGTGGCCAACCCCCCAGAACTCCACTGAAGCCTGTTGTGTCCTGTCCCAGATGAAGAGAAGTCCGGGGCAGCATCCCCCCTGTACCCCAGCAGCACCCAGCACAGCAGAGGCCCTCGTAAGCGGAGGAGCCTGTGGAAGCTGACAGCCTGCCCTGGCCAGTCACTCTCAGTGAGGGTCACAGCACGGAGGGACAAAGAAGTTCGTGTTCCCAAACCAGTGATACAGGGATCCCCGGGGGCTTGGTACAGAGTGGACGTTCCTTGGATCTCCCCATCTCTGCCAGAGTTGGTGACCCCTCAGGCAGTCACAGTGTACCACTCCAAGCTCCCAAGACCTGAGTCCCTCCGTGCCACCATGGGACCAGCAGCCAGACCTTGGGTTCAAGGGTCTTCATACTGTGGTGACCACACATCAAGACAGCCCTCATTTAAATAATCTATCCATTCTTTTTATTCTGGAAAATACAAAATAATTACACAAGTTATAATGTAGCCACAGTCCTTCTGAATTATTAGAATTATGGGTTTCATTAGAAGAAATCATGACAGTGATAACACATGATTAATATGACAGATATTTCTTAGCAGAATGCCCTGATATTAAGCCTTCAGAAACCTTTTATTTAAACCTCTAGGTTTTTTTTTCTTGTTAGTGTTATTTTTGTTCTTTTAATACAGAAAATTAGAGGTTACTCTCAGTCAAAAAACTGTGCAACAACGTGCAAAGATCCATCGACTTTCACACTGCGTGGCTCCGACACGGGTGTTTAATTAGCGTTTCCTTGGGAAGGAAAGGAGATGTACGTGGTGAAAGACAGCTCTTCTCAGCTGCGGCTCTTCGTGTGTTTAATTGCAGAAAGCACTCCAAAGACCTCCGCCAGCTGCAGCCCTGCCCCCGAGTCCCCGATGAGTTCCAGTGAGTCCGTGAAGAGTCTGACGGAGCTGGTCCAGCAGCCCTGTCCCCCCATCGAGACCAGTAAAGATGGCAAACCACCAGAACCCACCGACCCGCCGGCTCCAGACTCCCAGCCTACAACCCCTCTGCCTCTCTCCGGTCACTCGGCCCTCAGCATCCAAGAGCTAGTAGCCATGTCTCCAGAGCTGGACACCTACGGCATAACCAAGAGGGTTAAGGAGGTGCTGACGGACAACAACCTTGGTAGGTGCCCATTCCAGCTGTTTCCTCCCTGAGGTGACATGATGAGTGGGGGGAGTAGCTGGGGGCGCCCCGGTAGGACACTCGCTTGGCACGCACAGGGCCCTGCTCGCATGCCCAGCAGTGCAAAGAAATACGTAAATAACACGAACCATCTTAACCGCCCTGCAGCTACGGACACTGAGGGGCTCATGCAGGAACTAGAGCCCTGTAGGTCAGTCCCAACCCCTCTCCTCCCCAGGACCTGGTGGCCCACTCAGACCATCCTCAGTGGGCACCAGACCTAAGTAGATCACTCAGCCCCTCAGCATCAGTGGCTTCCTAGAGAAGGCTGAGCGCCTGGGTCCCCGCCAGCCAGCTCCCAGCTTTGTGTCTGGTGTGGGATCAGCGCTCGCACTCCTCGGTGAAACCGGCATGCTCCCTGGCCGCTGGCCACCGTCCTGGGTCTTGCTATGGTCCTGCCGCCTCATGAAACCATCTCCAGGTAGCCCAGGAGAGCTAAGACTGTCACCTTCCCTTGGTGTCAGGCCCCAGCCAATGTGCTGCAGCCTCCTGGGCACTGCCTGAGGTAGCTCCCTAAGGGCGCTGTGTCACCCCTGGGCCATAGCTGGGGCCCTCGGAAGATGGGTGTATCACCACATCCCACCACAGTGCCCTTGCAGCGTCATTGGGCAGAGACTGGAAACAGCCTCCTGGCCCTTAGGCCCCCCCTTATTTTCCAGGTGGAAACACGAGGAGGGACGCAGCATCCCCACTGCTGGGACGGCTGATAACCACAGGGGGCTGGGATTTGGTTGGGACCTTCAGAAGGCGCCTGTGTGTCTGTTTTCTCACAGGAAATGAGAGTGGACTGGGGTAGCTGAGGTCAGTTGGCTGACCTGGTGTGTACAGCCTGGGCTCAGAGCCCCCACCCCAGCTTTGTGTAATACATTTGTCCAGATAGCAAGGAGAAGTGGCACCCACTGAGAATGTCTGTAATTAATTTAATTCATAAAAATGAAAATGTAGCTGTTCGCTTTAGCACATGGCCCGAGTCCCTGTGTTCCTGGGTTATTAAACTGTGCAGGAATCCTAGGCTTGAGTTGGCCCCTCCTTCAGTTTTATCCCAAGTCCAAGGAAGCAGACCTGGTACGACACCCCTGCCCGCCCTGGAGAGGAAGCATGTAAACAGAATCCACCCAAGAAAATTCTCATTTTAAAACCCCAACTGGCAAAAGCAGAGTTAAGAGACGCAGACAAACCCTGACTCCCCACTAGGCCCACCTTCCACCTCTGCGTCCTTGCAGGAGACTTAGTTGGTGCTCGTCATACACAGCCTGAGCAGCACCCCGCAGGCTGCAGAGCTTCCAAATGTGCAAAGCACAGACCAGTGATCTGGGGAAGGGCTGCTCCCCAGACCAGGGGCTGCCTCCTCTGTGAGCAGGAACTTCCGGAAAAGCCCACAGCAGTCCCTGGACTTGGCCTTCAGAGGCAGTCCCTGGGTTGCTCTGCCTGGTCTCAGTGATGCAGGAACAGCAGCTCCCTTCCAATGGGGCTCTTGGTGGAGTTGGGGCCCCAGAGAGGCCACCTAGGGCTGAACTCGGCAGCAGAGCTAGCCCTTGGTCAAGACCCAGTGTCCTCCCAGCTTGGCCTGGGGTTTTGGCTTGTTCACAGTCAGTCCCTTGAAACGTACCAAATGGGTGCGTGGGTGCTTCTGGGTAAGGGTCTGTTGCTTCCTTCAGGGTCTCACACAGAAAAATGATTGAGACCCACAGCCAGTTACGCTCTCAAAGTGATGCAGATAATTTTCTAAGAATAATCACTTGATAGTTTTCCCCCAGGGAGGCCCAGAAAATAGAAACGAGCTTTTTGTACGTACCGCTCTCCCGACAGAGCAATAGCGAGCTCCGCGGAATGAAGAGAGATTAGTGCGCCCCATTAGAATTAAGTAAAATTTATTTAAATCAACTACAACAACAACAACAAAAAAAAACACCTGGCAAGGACTTGGGCATTTACAGGCTCAATGAAGAGTGTGCAGAAGCCGTTGTTTGGTTTTTAGGTTTTGGTTTTGTGGAGTTGGGGATCGAACATGCCAGCCAAGCCCTTCACCACTGAGTGACACCCTCAGCCCCAGTAAATTTACCTTTAAAAATTAAAATGACTCCCAGCAGCTCAGGAGGCTGAGACAGGAGGGTCATGGGTTCAAAGCCTTCCCCAGCAACAGTGAGGTCCTGTCTCTAAATAAAATACAAAATAGGGCTGGGATGTGGCTCAGTGGTCCGTGCCCTGAGTACAATCCCTGCTACCCCAAGGTAAATAAGTAAATAAAATGACTGATATAAAAATATTTTTTCTATAATCAGAAGCTCTTCGTATGATACACCTTCACCTGGAGGACCCACATTTCACAGGCAGAGCCTGTGAGGTCTTCTTCCTCACCTTACTTGGGAGCTCAGGATAGTGTTTCCGTTTCCCAGAGGGTGGACTTGGCCCTGAAGGGTCTCCCTGCTGCCGTGGGGAATCAAGGCTCCTTGCCCAAGAAGTCCATGTTCTGGACACTTGGTGGAGCCAGCTGCTGGCCTCTCTGGCCCCGTCTCCATTTCCACCTGATGAGTCCCATTCACTGAGCTCCTCCCATTCAGGTCAGGGGAAGCGGTGGCTCTCCCCACCCACAGCCGCAGGCCCTGGAAGAAGCTGACCTTCCTCCAGGCCTGTGAGCCCTGCAGACTGGGCACTGCTGCACTCTCCACAGCCACAGGGCTCTGTAACCCCCCGCCTGGGAGAAGAAAGGGCACCAGGAGGGATGCAATCAGCTAGGGCCGGGCCTGCAGGAGCGGCTGCCTGCCTAGGCAAAGCTGGGATGCTCCCTCCTCTCTCCAGCTGTGACCCTGGTCAAGTGCCCTGTCTTCCCAGCAAGACCCATAACGCTGCTAATCAAGAAGAGACACAGGCACTGCTGGGCAGGAACCCAGGAGGGGTTATTACTTGGGCTTGGGGACTTAACTGCCTCTGAGAAATGCCCCAGGTGGCATCGAGACTCAGTTCATCCGGTGCCTGAAGGCTTTTCTGAGAGAAGCATCATGTGTTGGGTAAACACGGAACGCAGGCCTGGTGCCAGCTCCCTTGCCAGTGGGGTCTTTTGCCAGTGTTTGGGGGCTGGGGTGTGCTCAGTGGCCGAGCACTTCCTAGCATGCATGAGGCCCTGGGTCCATCCCCAGCACCACAAAAAGAAAAGAAATGTTTCTGCAAAGGACTGGCTCTGAGCCAGGCCCCAGCTGGCCAGACTGTGGACCACTGAACCCGTGACTGATTTTAACTTGACCCTACTTGTCTTCCCAGATCCCTGGCCCTTGGTGACCGTCTCTTGCTTCCATTTTCCCTGTAGGTCAGCGCTTGTTTGGGGAGACCATCCTGGGGCTCACCCAAGGCTCCGTCTCTGACCTCCTTGCCCGCCCTAAACCCTGGCACAAGCTCAGTCTGAAGGGACGGGAGCCCTTTGTCCGGATGCAGCTGTGGCTAAATGATCCCAACAACGTGGAGAAGCTGATGGACATGAAGCGGATGGAGAAGAAAGGTAACCCCACCCCCCACCGCCCAGGGGGGGCTCCTCCTTCACGACAGCTGTTTGGTTTGGTTGGTTGGTTGGTTTTATCGCAGGTACCCAGAAACCCAGAACCTTGCGCATGCCAGGCCAGCCCTTTGTCACTGAACGACACCAGCAGGCCCTTTCTTTAAATCCTTCACACAGAGCTAATGAGGCCATGGGTCCCTGTCCAAGGCACTATAGGGCAGGGCAGAGGGTTCGGGGGTAATCTTCAGCTGATGAATACCTGAGAGGACTGGGAAGACCCGTGGCTGCCTCTGACCAGCAGCCTGAATGTGAACTCTCTTACCACTGAGGGCAAAGCACAGGTGACAGCTTATTTGCTTGTGGGTGGGGTGTTCCAGTGTCTGCTGCACATGTACCACATGCTAGCGACTTCCCTGTGTTATTGGAGAGACGGGTAGATTAGGAAACTCGAGTTCAGAGAGGTTGGTGCCTCCACTAAGGTAACCCAGCCTGGTCTCCTGCAGTGGAGAGCTGCATCTGTGCCATCTCCCTGAGCGCTACCAGGGCCCCCATTCCCTCCCATCACCTTCCGTAGCCCACGGGGTGATGAGTCCAAATCCCTCAGGTGCACATGGATACCAGTGATGACCACCCTCCTCTCAGCTAATGCAGAGGGACTTAACACGGTATGGCCATCACCAGCACCCATGTGGCTCTGCCTGGCCCCACACCCAGGGCACCTTAGCCCAAGGTGGGTGGGGAGCCCAGGCTGGTAGCCTCCTAATTCCCCAGGAGAGTCCATCCCAGCAGCCCTGCTCGCCCCCAACCAGGGAATGGGCTGGGGCTCCAAGGAGCAGCGTCCGAGCGCCCTCTCCAGAGCCCGCCTCTCCAGAGCCCTCTGGACCTGGGTCTTTTGCCAGCAGCTCCGTTCCCAGTGCTTCCCCTGGCCGGGTCCTGTGCTGGAGCTTCACTGACCCACCTCCCCGAGCAGCTTAGGTGCCCGCATGTGGAGAGGTGAGCATGGGTGCTGAGAGGGTGGCCTGAGAGGAGCAGGGGCAGCATTCACCCGCAGGGCCACCTGATCCACACTGGCCCTGTGCTGCCATCCTGCCAAGGGCTGCCACTCCTGGGGTCCCAGGGCATTGCCTGGGCTGTGGCATTCCAGCCATCAGAGGGCCCCTCAGACCTAGGTGTGTGGACCAAGGCCACAGCCTCTTGGGCAGCTCCAGATGGCGCTACAGTCCCAGCGGCCTGGCACCACACCACGTTAGGGAAGTCCCACTAAAAGCAGAGTGATAGCGTCCAGAACCCCACACCCCCAAGCGCTCTGCCAGCCACGGAGCCCAGGGCTGCTCTTGCCCAGCGAGTTCCCAGCCACCTCCCGAGCAGCGGGTTTCCCTCTGTATATCAGGAGAGGGGAGGGCCTGAGTCCACTGTTCCCCACTGTGTTTCCCATCCTGGGCTGGTAGGAAAGGACCTCAGTCCCCACAGATCTGCAGGGGCTCCCCAGGCTCTGCACCTCCTTCCACACGGGCTCTTGGCGCCATCTTGTGTTGCCAAAGAGTCACTGTCTCAGCAGGGCCTGGGCCTCCCAGCATGCCAGGTCCCCGAGCTGTCCCATTGTGGTGTCATTCACTGGGGCTGCTCACTTGCGAAGCCGGTCACTCACACAGCAGGTGCCTGAGCCCAGTCCTCCCTCAGTGCCACGGGTCACTGCCAACTCCTGGGCCCTCCCAGTGCAAGGGGAGGGCCCTGGGCACCAGGCAGTCTAGGCTTGTTTCTGTCTGGCCCTTGACTAGACTGTATTGATATTTTATGGAGGAAATTTACCTTCTCAATTGTTCTATGGTCCTACTAATAAAATGTCAGGTGAGCTAAGCACCACCCCTGCCTAAACTCCTACCCTTGCAAACTGAGGGTAAAAATGCTAACTTCTCCAGGCCATGACTATTAGAAAGAGTGCAGCTGTTCACACCTGTAATTCCAGCTACGCAGAAAGCTGAGGCAGGAAGATCCCCCAAGTTTAAGGCCAGCCTGGGCAACTTAGTGAGACCCTGCCTCAAAATAAAATTTTCAAGGGCTAGAAGTGTAGCTCAGTGGCAGAGCACTTGCCTAACATGCACGAGGTCCTGGGTTTGATTCACGATACGGGCTGCGGGGTGGGGACTTAGCTTAACAAGTGCTCATTAAATGAGTTGTATTCCTTCAAATTAATGTGCCCAGTCGAGCCTTGCGTCACATGCTGAAGGGCTGGGTTCAGTCTCTATGACCACACAGATTTTAAACAGAAAGTTAGCCTCTGCTGCAGATCATGCAGACCACATAACCACAGGGACCCTGTGCTGCTTCTCCCTCAGAGCTTCATCTCTTCTCCCGCGAGAGCTGATGTGTCCTTCCTCCCCTGTGTCTGTTTCACTCAAACCCCTGCCGCCTTCTCTTATCTCCCTCACATTGGTGGCCCGATGACCCAGGCTTCTCCTCCAACATTCATCTGAGGCCTGAGTGCCATCTTGCTGTGGCCCCCACTGGACTCTGTTCAGGGCCTGCCCCTTCCGCAGCCGGACAGCAGGCCTCGGCCCTGTCCCTTACCTGCCATGTGACCTCCAGTGAAGTCTTGAAACCCGCCATGCTTCCGTTTCCTCACCTATAAACTGAACACATAGGGGTTGCTCTCCCCAAGGTCCACTGGGGAGGGAGCGAGTGGCTGCTGCTGCGGCTGGAGGTGCCTCTCGTCCCAGTCAGGGCTTCATATCTTCTGTCGCTCACAAGGGCTGGGGAAGAACTCCAGGCTCCCGTCCAGTGTCCACGGGAAGAGGGGTGCAGGGGGTTCCTTTCCAGAGCAGAGCAGAGTTGAAGCATGGTGGGCAGTGACCAGCACACAGGGCAGAGGAAAAGGTGCAGCCTAGAACCTCGGCACCAGCAGTGCCCAGGCCTGCCATCCACCCAGGCACGTCCCCCCTCACCAGGCACGACCCCCCACAGCAGGCACCACTAGGCCTACCCCCGACTCCGCTCATTGGCCACCCGGGTCCTCCTCCCCCAGCCCCTCCAGGCAGCCTGCGAAGCCCCCCAGCCCCAGGCCCCGCTGTAGCCTCATGCTGCCGCCTCAGCCAGTCCAGCAGACGGGCTGTGCGCCTCCCTGTCTCAGTCACCCACAGCCTCCTGCTCACTCTCTGCTTGTTCTAAAGACCGTGGCCTTGGGATCATGGCCTTCCTCCATGTCCCCGGTCCTGCCTCAGCCAGGGGACTCTACTCCCCACACAGAAGGCCCACCAGACCTGTCCAGCACCTGGGCCTCAAGTCCTTTAACATCCTCAGCCCTTGGCTATGCCCCAAACTCCTCTGCTCCTGGATCTTAAGCCCTGGTACCCAGCTCCCTCTGCCTGTATCTCCTTCCCCAGGCCTCGAGTCCACAGCACCCCCCATCCCTCCAGCCACCGTGCTCCTCTCCCATCTCCCCCTCCTCCCTGGGCTGCTGGGTCTTGTGGAGTCTGCATACTGGGCTGCTTCTGCTCCCAGGTGGCATCTCCAGCTTCCCTGAAGTCCCTCATTACGCTTCCCAGCCCCGCCTGGCCCTCAGGCCCAGTGCCCGTGACTTCCCGGCACAACTTCATTCTCTCCTCCTGCCTTCCCCTGAGGACAGAAGATGCGTTGGCCCCACCTGGAGCCCACACCTGGCCCCTCCCTCCTCCACCCCACTCAAACCATCTTCACCTTCCCAGCAGCCAGCTTGCTCTCTCTGTCACCTCCCCTCGGTGCAGGGACAGCATCTGCCAGCTCAGCCCTGGACTTGCCCTCGAGAAGCCACCCCGCCTCTCCCCTCTTATGGCTCAGCCTCTTGGGGCGTGACCCCTGCTGGCCACCCCAGCTTCCCAGGGTCTGCCCGCCACAACCTCATGTCTCCATCCCCCTCCTAATCAACTGCATCCAAGGGACACCTGGGTCCTCGCCACACACTCCTCCTGCAGCATCTGATGCCTCCTTCAGCCCCTCTGGGATCCCACCGTGCCCTGGCTGTCCTCCCAGCCTCTGTGGCCCTCGTGGCCTCTCCCTGGAAGCACTGTTGTGTGCTGGTGTCCACCACGGTTCTTTTCTGACCCCTCACCTTCTCCTTGTCATTGGCTTCTAGATAGCGTCTATTCCTGTGGTCGGTCCCCTAAGGCCCTCTGTGACCCAAACTGTCCTCCTAAGCTACTTGGTTAAAATCCTTCCATTTCACTCATTGCCGTCAGCGCAGAGATCAGCCTGGGCCCGTCCTGGCCCTGCCCATGCTCAGCTTCTTGTTCTACATCGCCTTCCACCACCACTGCCCACTGTGTGCACGCTCATGCACGCATGCACATGCCCACAGTTAGCCCAGTTCACGCCGTCCTGGTCCACGCTGCTCTGCTGTCCAACAGCCCTCTCTGTCTCACGGCCAGCATTTTCTGGTTACTCCCTCCTGTCCTTCAAGATATCTCCCCAGCAAAGCAGAGCCCTTCGGCCCACCCCAGTCCAGCCCATTGCCATCCCTCCATGTCCCTCCACAACGCCTGCAGCTGCCTCCCTGTCCCACTCCACTCTGGACATCCATCTGGATCCTTCTCTGCAGCCCCCATTGAATTGTCAGGTTGTGCAGGGACAGCCAGGGACCCATGTGACGTCAGAGCAGGGCCCCTGTTGTGCGTGTGTCTGGGATCAGCATGGTTCTAGTGCAGGCACGTGGAGGTGCCCTCCACACAGCACCGGCAGGCTGGTGACACACTGTCACCCTTACGCAGGGGGCCAGGGCGCCAGGCTGCCTGGCTGGAGACCTTGGCCTCACTCTGGTGTCTCTCCCCACAGCCTACATGAAGCGAAGGCACAGCTCCGTCAGCGACAGCCAGCCCTGTGAACCCCCCGCGGTGGGCATTGACTACAGCCAGGGTGCCAGTCCCCAGCCACAGCACCAGCTGAAGAAGCCCCGCGTGGTGCTGGCTCCCGAAGAGAAGGAGGCTCTGAAGCGAGCCTATCAGCAGAAGCCATACCCGTCACCAAAAACCATCGAGGAGCTCGCCACCCAGCTCAACCTGAAGACCAGCACCGTCATCAACTGGTTCCACAACTACAGGTACGGCCTGCTGCACCCTGGAATCCCAAGCCCTCTGCGTGGGTGGGTGGGGGTTCCATGTTGTCTGATGGGCAGTTTTAACTCCAAGGCTGAAGGGCCAGCTCCTTCCGATCAGTGTCACGTAGTCACAGTCCACATCTGCTGTGACCAGGAAAATGTTACCTCTCAACGGTATCATTCAGCAAGGTACAGCGTAGGCAATTATTAGGTCCCCTGGTAGTGAGCGTTTCTTTCATGGTAATTTTGTGTCTTCTCAGGGTCTTTAAAGTATTGTTTTCAAAATCAGCTTGATTAGTTTTGTAACGAAATAGCTGAGAACCTTCCTAGGGAAAGTTCAAGAGTTGACCAGGATTTCCTGAGTGGCCACTAGGTCTGAGTGAGTGTTCTCACCAACGTCCCACCCTTGGTCCTCACAAGCACATGGGTGTGGGGCTGTCTTCATTCTGCAGAGAGCTCGAGGAGGCTGAGCAGGTGAGGGCCCAGGGCTCTGCAGGCAGGAGCCTGGAAACCCACTGAAGGACCCTGAAGGACCCTAAGCCAGAGCTACAACCACACTCCTGCTGCCAGCAACTAGGAGTCCCAGAACCTGTTAGAAATTGCTGGATTAGTACCTTATAAGTGCCGTCTCTATTGCTGGTTTTCAAGGGAATGTCATTTTCTCTGTGACTCAATAAAACTGGAGCAGGCACTTCTGGGTGATCCACGTGACATGGCACATGATTGGCCAGGGCAGGTGGGGATCTCACAACTGCTCACCCAGAACAAGTGGCAGCAGCAGAGGATCACAGGCCCCTGGGGACCCGAGGGAGAAGTCTGGCTGGGCCTCCCCCACCCATAAGTTCTGCTTGGGTCTCTAAAGGGCCAGTAAACCACCTGGGTTCTGCATAAGGAGGGGAATTTTAAAATAGGAGCCAAACCACACCCTGATTACTAGGGAAGGCTGAGTCATGAGCCTGCTACCAGAGCCCTCGGGCCAAGCAGACTGCTCCAGCCAGGCAGCACTGGCCCTGGGCTGTCTCCTCGAGGACAGAGAAAGTACAGGGACACTACACAAACAGCACATTCACCCCACGTTCACCCGTCAGATCAAAACAGGCAGACGGAGGCCAGCAGTTAGGGTCCTGTTGCTCCCCAACCATGAAACAGAGGAGAGCAAATGGAAATGTGGGCCAGGTTTGCTGGCCCTGCCAGGGTCGGGCAGTGCCTCTGCAGGTCTGTCACAGTCCTATGAGGAGCCTGACTCTCAGTGTCATGTGGAAGCCCTGGAGCTCTAGAGGGCTAAGGATCTGGACGCAGGTGCTTCAAGCCCACAGACCATCTTGAGCCATTCCCCTGCCCTGCTGGTGGCTTCTCCCAGAGCCACCCATTGGCCTCCTGGCCAGCGTGCTCCTCAGATTCCCCAGCTGCTGTCCCTTGGCTTGCCAGCCTCTGACAGCCACACTAATGCCCATCCCATGGTGGCCAGCCAGCCACTGTGGACATCCTCTCTTTTGCACTTAGCAAAAGCAAATTCAACCACCCACCCTTGGCAGAAACAGAGGGAGGTGGGGAAAGTGGCAGGACTTCTGAACTGTGACGATGAGCCTTCACGTCATGCACAACAAAGTGGCTGGGCCAAGTCAAGTGGAGACCAAGGGCCACGACAGGTTCAGCCACCGAGATCTGGAGGAGGGGCAAGAGGGGCAGGGCTGCACATGTGGACTCAAGTAGGAGAACTGGATAAATTAAGTCCCGTGAATTAGAAGCTAGCACCAGGTCCTTTCAGATGGCCGGCTGGGGCACAGCTCAGTGATAGAGCGCCTTCCAGCATGCGTAGGCCCCGGGGTTCCACATCCCACCAAAAAATAAAGGCCCAAGGTTCAGAGAGCCGAGTCCCTCGCCTGCAGCGGGCAAACTTAAAAGCCAAGGTTCTCCCCAAGTACTCTCCCTGGCTTCAGGTAACTCTCCCTAGAGACCCTCAGTGCTGAGCAGCTGGCCCTGGGTAAGCCACCAGGCTCACTGCAAGAGCTGGCCCATGCCCTGAGTGTGTTAAAATCCTAAGGTAGGTTTTGACCTGCCTTCCAAGGGGTCAAACAGGGAAAGTTGATTTTCTCTGTCCCACTGGGACCCTCACTTGGGGTCCGTTAATGCCCTCATCCAAAAAAATACAGCTTTTCCCTTATCTTATCCTGAGGGAATTAGAAATATCTCAAGCTGACCCTGTCCCCAGGAATGCAGAACACACCAAGGACACTGGCCTCCTCTGGAACAACAGGTTCACTCAGTGGAAACTGCTGATCCTTAAATGCCATGGCATCTGCCAGCCTGTGCAACTTGTCAAAACTAGAACCAGGGCTGGGGATTAGCTCCGTGGACTTCGTGTTCAATCCCAGCACCCAAATTAATAAATTATGTTTTTAAAAAATAGCCAGGCATGGTGGCACACATCTGTAATCCAAGCAACTGGGGAGGCTGAGGCAGGAGGATCACAGTTCAAGGCCAGCCTCAGCAACTTAGTGAGACCCTGTCTCCAAATGAAAAAAAAAGAAAAAACAAAAATAGAACCACTCCTAGAACCCCATCTTTCTACATGAAAGATAATATTCCTAATTCTAGGTTTTTGGTTTTACCGTGCTAGGGATTGAACCCAGGGCCTCATGCACACTAGGCAAATTCTCTACCTCTAATCTGTCCCCCAGCCCAAGAAAATATTCCTTATGAACATGGAGACAAGTCTTAAGCAGAGAAGGATGAGTCTCTCTCCTATCTGTTGAGCACATCTCATTTGCCAAACACTGGGCCATGCGTTTAGTAGCTGTTTCATCTCATGCCGTCTTCCAGCCTGCATTGAAGGACTGCCTCTGGCCCTTTTTACAGAGAAGGGTCCCAGGAGTCAACCAAGCTGCAAGTGTAAAAGCCAGGGCCCATGCCCCAGGCGTCAGCCTGCCTTCCTGCCAGCCCTGGCCCCGCTATCTCACGCTCAACTGTGTGCCCGCTAACTCACGCTCAACTGTGTGCCTTCTCTCGTGTAAGAGGCAGCTGGGCAGTAAGAAGAGTTACTGTTCCTGTTGGTCTACTTTGTGTCCAATATTATACATCTAATACCTTATTTCATCTTTATAACTGCTCAGCAAGGAAGAAAGTGTTCTCTCATTTTTCAGATAAGAAAACTAAAGCTTAAAGGTCAAACTGTCTTGTCCAAGTTGCACGTCCAGTGCAGAGCCAGATTGTAAACTTGGTTCCAAGATGCCTGCACTCTGTTTGGGGCCTGGCAAGAACCAAACCTTAGCTGCCTGTCACCTCCTAACAGGGCAGGGTGGTACTGGCTGCTCACTCGCCAGGCCTTCTCACTGCCAAGGGGCTTGGAAGCCAGTCAAGAGCAGGGCCGCCCTCCCAGCACAGCACCAGGACTGATCATGGCAGCTGCCATTCCCAGGCCCCACTTATTGTCCCAGGGAAGGGGGGGAATCTTGTTTCCCCAGAGAACTTGCTAGGGGCTTCTCAGAACCCTGCCTTTTGAACCATATCTCAAGAATCTTAGGACAAGATTCTGAGCTCACTCATGTGCACGAAGCAAATAGTTGCAGAACAGGTTGACAGATACCCCCCGAGTTCTGATGTCCTGGACAGAACCGCAGCTCTCCACTTCCTGGCTCCACGAGGCCCAGGTGCAGGACCTGGCTGACCGCAGGCTTTCCAGACTATCCCCTTTATTGAGTCATAAGCACTGCAGAAAACCTCCCAAGCATGCCTAACCCTGGGGCTTGGTGCTAATTTGCCCCACAAGGCTTTTCCAACAGCGGACATGTGCACATTTTCAGAGGCTTTTTCAGCCCTCTGGAGAAATGCCTGGAGAGAAGGCCTGTGGAGGCTCATACTGTGAGTGTGGTGGGAAGAAGAACTGGTGCCCTTTCATTGGCACCACCAAGGGTTCCAAAGCAGGGAAGACCATGGCTTCCAATGCCAGTTCTTTCTTAAAGGGAAGACACACACACACACACACCACCTGCAGTAGGTAGCAGCGGTTCAGTACAGTACCTGAGCATGTCTTCTACTGTAGGTGGAGAAGGCTGGGTTAAGACCTGCGTAAGCTGGGTTGCAGCTCAGCGGCAGAGTGCTTGCCCAGCATGCACAAGGTCTTGGGTTCGATACCCAGTACAGCAAAAGAAAAAAAAAAAAAAAAAACTGCTTGAACAGTTGGAACATACTTGGTGCTCTCTGTGGAATCAAGTGTCCATTTCCTCACCTTCTCCATTCAGAGAGGAGATTTGGTCCGAAACACAATTTGGAGACCAACAGAGTAGAAGGATACCAGGGAGAAAGAAGGAGAGGAGGAAGAAAAGGGGAGGTACTGGAGAATGAAAGTGACCAAATTATGTTACATGCGTGTATTAATGTCACAATAAATCTCATTATTATGTATATTTTAGTGCACCAACAAAAAAGAACAAAGTGGGGCTGCAGTTGTGGCTCTGCGGTTGTGGCTCAGCGGTAGAGCACTTGCCTTGCACATGAGGCCTTGGATGCGATCCTCAGCACTACATAAAAATAAATAAATAAAAATAAAGATATTGTGTCCATCTACAATTAAAATTTTTTAATTTAAAAAAAGAATAAATTAAAAAAAAATAAAAAATATACAATTTGGTGATCTCTTACTAGAAGCCCCTGACCTTCTGTGGCTTAGAGCTTGAAGTGGAAGATCCCCACTTTGGGTGCTGACCAATAACTGGTTTTCTCCCATGAGGTCCTAGTGAGGACAGTGGGTACCATGCAGTGTCCTTTATTAATTAAGCCAGCACATATCACGGTCGCCAAGCACCATGCCAGGTGAACTGAATCAAAGGAACCCGGCCTTTCGCAATGCAGCTGGGAGAGGAAAGGCGCCTTTGGATAAGCCCCGGCGGAGCTCCAACCCTAGGACCGCACAGGGGCGTGGGGCGCAGGTGCCCAGGGGTGGCGCGGGCAGCGGAGGGCGGCTCAGTCCCCGCAGTCCTCGCCTCACGGCTCTCGCCGCTTGTGTCTCCTAGGTCTCGGATCCGCAGAGAGCTCTTCATCGAGGAGATCCAGGCCGGGAGCCAGGGCCAGGCGGGCGCCAGCGACTCGCCGTCGGCCCGGAGCGGCCGCGCCGCGCCCAGCTCGGAGGGCGACAGCTGCGACGGCGTGGAGGCCGCCGACGCTGAGGAGCCGGGCGGCCCCGCGGCCGCCGCCAAGTCTCAGGGAGGGCCGGCCGAGGCGGCCTCGGCCCCGGCACCGCGGGAGGAGGCGCCGCGGCCGGCGGAGAGGGCGGAGCCGCCGCCGCCGGGGACCCCGGGCCCGGACGACGCCGACGACGCGGGACGGCCCCGGCCGCCGGACGGCCCCGACGGCCCGGCGCCCGTGCCAAACCCCGCCGCCGCGCCTGCGACCGGGGAGGACGCCGCTACCTCAGCCGCCGCGCCCGCAGAGGGCCCCGGCGCGGCCCGGGACGGCGCCGAGCGGAGTTGCGCCTTGCCAAGCACCAGCGCGCCCGCGGCCGCGCGCAGGCCCAGCTCGCTGCAGAGCCTCTTCGGCCTGCCCGAGGCGGCGGGCGCCCGGGACTCGCGGGACAACCCCCTGCGCAAGAAGAAGGCCGCCAACTTGAACAGCATAATCCACCGCCTGGAGAAGGCCGCCAGCCGGGAGGAGCCCATCGAATGGGAGTTCTGAGGGCGGCCCGCCGGCCTCGCCCGGGCCGCGGCCGCGGAGCGCCTGCCCAGCCGGGCCAGTCCGCGAGGGCGGCGCGCCGCAGGACCGCGCTGCGCACTTACCGCCCTGCGGGCCACAGGGCAAAATCGCCATAGGCCAAGGTGCATATAGAAAACAAAGGAGCATTAAGCCCAATCTATGTCGTGTTTTCAAGGAAGAAAACGGAAATGTGTAGTCGAGCTTTTTTGTACCCTGAAGTGTTTTTTTTATTGCCCTAAGTGATTTCCACAGGTTCTGGAATAACTCTTACAGCTTTGCCTTGCGCCCTCCTCTTTCGTGTGGGCTTAAAAAAAAAAAAAATCAAACCCACATATTAAAAGGGGGCTTTTTATCTGCCATCTGATGGCTTCAGAGCGATAATACACTATTATCTTCTTAAACCAGGAAAAGGGTGGGGGGGATTTTTCAGAAAAATTAAAAAAGAAAGTTTTTGTAGCTGTTCAGTTGCCACTAAGAGATTGCACAGTCAAACCGACTCTAAACACACTAGTTTGGATTCCTAAATATTTTCAAGAAAAGAATCTTCTCGTTTGAAACTTTGACTTAAAATAAAACACATTTACTCCACATATTTTTTAACAAAAAAGAAAAGTCACATCAGGAAAATATCTGATTTTGTGGTAGCTGACCGTAGTGTTTTCTCGTACGTGAATAGAATCCTGACATGTAGTGCACATTGATCCATAGCTTTAACTGACCCTGGGCTTTTGCCGACCAGGGTTTGTTTAATACACTCCATTCTAGGCCAAATCAGGACAAAAAGAAAAGATCCGAATCTAGGTATTTTATAATCTGCTTTTTAACCTCTAACCGCAGAGCACGCTGATCAGACCTCATATCTGGGAGGTTTAGGAGACAAGTTAGAACTGTAGCATGTACCCATTCATTTTGTTAATTTATGGAGTCCTGTCTATGTTCGTGCGTCCGCCCATGTACGAGCATTGAGAGAAAGGGAAGAGTAGGCCGACAAGGTGGCGGCAGGCAGTCCTGGGTCAGGCTGGCCTGCCGCGTGCAGCACTCCGCACTGGGCGCCTCACCTCCCACCACCGCCCTGGCCCCCAGCGGAAGGGGCGGCCTGGGCCTGGGCCGGGCTGGCACGCGCGCTCTTTCCCCTTCTTCCCACCACAAGCACTGATGACCCCATGGAACTCGTGGGAAGCTTCCTTCCCTGCAGAAGAGAATGTGGCAGTCTGGGCTGCGCTCCCACCCCTGTAGAGAAGCCCACACTCGCACACAACGCTGATGCTCTTCACTTCCAGACCAGACCATTGGCCCTTCATCCATTTCGCCTCTTGGAAGGTTCTTTTATGCACAGTTTAGGGCAGTCAAAGTACAAATCAAAAGTCTAACTTGTCTCGGATTCCTCCTGTTGTCTATGTGTATACGCGTGAGAATAGAGGTGGATGAGAGTGTGCGTGCGTGCGTGTGTGCAATTTTATACGTCTGTGTATTTTCTTAAGTACCTGTGCACACATAGAGTGCATTACTGCCACCTTTTTCAATAAGCTGTTTATCAGTTATGGCTTCTACAAGTTTGCTAATTTAGACTCCTTTATTGCCATATCTTTAAACTAACAATAGATGATTTCGGTATATATATATATTTTTTTTTGCTTATTTATAGGTGCTGTATTTTATTATCTGATTGTTAGGAAGGGATGAAAGGGGCAAATATTCTTTAGAGGGATAGACTGCCGGCAGTATTGGGTATAATTTACAAGATGTAGTTGTCATACTGTATATTACTGATTGAAAACTTTTTGACCGTATTGTGTATCATTGAAACCTTTGTCTTAGGTCAACATCTTTGGATGACATTTTAATGGTGCATTCATTATTTCTTAAGTTTAATTAATATTACTTTTTTGATTTGGGGGGGTGGGAGGGAGTTCTAATTCTAAAGGTATGCTCCCGCTATTACACCTCAGTGTGCTTGTTATTACTTAACGTGTAGGACTTTGTAAGATGTGAAACCACATTTCTTGCATGATGTTTTAGAGATTATGTATTTCATTTACAGTCTTTTAACCTGCAGCTGCAGCACTTAGTTCAAGTTTTCACAAATTTAAGAGTCACTACACTAAAGACAATGCCTTTTCATGAATAAGAAGTTCTCAGAAGGCTCTAGGAGGCTGGGAGGCAGGCCCTTTGTTTGTCTTTGGATGGTTGCGTCATTTCTGAACTTTAAATCTGGTTCAGTGAGAAGAGAAGTCACAATGGAGGAGCTTAAGGGGAATGATTGACATCGGCTCAATGCAGGTGCGCGGAGAAGAGTGCGTTCACACCAGGGACCTTGAGGACAGTGAGGAGCAGCAGAGCAGCTGATGGTACTGTGGTGTCCCCTCCACAAGAACCTCAAGGGAACGTTGTCACATGTGTGATGAATCTCTGAATATCCACTTTTCGTTAGAAGGAAAAGCAGGGAGTAGGTGGGAGCCGCTGGGCCAGTGCTTCGGTTCTAAAGGCGTGACTGTTATTCACCAGGTGTTGAGGCCGAGGAATTGCAAAGTCTAGATCTGTCCATCCTCGTGGCCCGATGTGACGGCCTACAGCAGCCACTTGAGCTCTTCCGTGCAATTCAGTCATTTGGGTTTGTTTCCTTGGTTGCGCTGGGCTCCCGCTGACTTCCACCTCGTCTTTTCTGCCAGACTTACATCTGGGTGCTCGATACAATCAGCTGGTTAGTTGGATTTTGCTTGCAGTTCCACGTTTGTATTTTTTCTCTATTATTTATTTTTTTTAATTGAGATTCCAACCTCTGGTCTTTTGTGTTAAGTTAGTTCTGTCTGTGATACTTTTAGGAGCTGCCGCTCAATAACACAGATACCTGTGGAGTGGGGCTCAGCCCCCCCCCCCCCCCCCCGCCAGCCCCTCCGTTGAGTCTAAGGTTCATCTTTCATCTTGATAAGCAATATTCAAGTGCCTTGAACAGCGCCCCTCCGTGCGGTGACCTTCTGGCAGCTGGCGATCCAAACAGTGGCTCACATAGGCAGCCGACCCTCCTCCTCTTTATGCTCTATCAGCTTAAAAAGCTGATTTGTACCTCTCCCTGGGGGAAACGGTTTCATAGAAAACACTAACACTTAATTACAAGCTCCATTATTGCCATTTTAAATGGCTCCTTTCTGTTAATGGGAGGTGGCTTTCAGAGCTTCAGTTTCCTGCTGAGCAGAGGCCAGACCTAAAAGTAGTGCTGGCTTCTGGCCCCTTGACCTTGCCTCCCATCCAAGTCCCCTTACCATATCCAAAGTGGCAGGCATGTCTCAGACTGCTCCCCACCACCCCAGCCTTGTGGATCAGTCAGGAAGTCTGGTTTCTGTCCTCCAGGCCTCTCTGAGGAAGAGAGCTGGACTTGATTGTCCTCACCAACCTGTCTGAGGCACATGATGACCCATAGCATCTGGTGGTCGTGCCCTGGGATGCAGGCTTGGGAGAAGCCTCCAGAAGTGCCCAGGCACCGTTTGCACTGGCAGACCACAGCACTCCTAAAGTAATCAGGCGAAAGAGAACGGCGCTCAGCCTCCCTGGGACACCTCCTGTCCCTCCAAAGCACAAAGGCCTCCCGCCCAGCAACGTTCCTGGTGGTTTCTCCTTCCTCCCTATTTAAAAGACCCCCTGTCTGATGTGGGCAGTCAGGTATGGTTGGTGATCCACACCCAGGGCTCACCAGAGCCTCTGTCCTCTCATGGTAGCCAAGAGAGTTCCCCCCCCCACCGCCTGCCCACCGCCGCCACCACCCCCAGACCCACGTGGGCAGCTCTCCTACCCATCTGCCATCTCAGCCAGGGCCAGGGCCAGGGCCAGGGCCTGTCATGCAGCAGACCAGGCAGGAGGCAGGTTGTATCTTAGGGGCTGGTGGGGATCCTGGGTGATGGCCAGCTGCCCTGAGATCACGCAGAGGCGATGGCCTCAGAGGGATGGGCCAGGGCCACCAGGCGAGTTCCATCACCGGCAGGCGCCTTCCCCAGTGCAGTTGGCCCTCCTCCTCTGTTCTTCCGTCCCATCCTTCTCTGGGGTGACCATGAATTCTGGACATTCTATGCAATGTTTCTTGTTCCTCTCATTTTATAAAACCAAATCTCACTGGAAAGTGGCAGGGGAGCCCAGGGGACATGCAGGTTCCTTCTTAGCACAAAGTGAAGTGGAGGGGTCACTGGCGAGACCTGGAGCCTTTGCCTTAAGTGCGTTGTGACAGGCACTGGTAGGAGCAGACATCTGCCCGTGGTCCTCCTGAGGCCCACAAGCCCGCTGTGCAGGGGCAGCAGAGTGACCTGGGGCCGGGAGGAGGCCGCGACACTCAAGGCTGGAGCTTGGCTACCACCGCCAGGCCGCCTCTGTCCCTGGCTGGATACCCCTCATCTTCACACTCCTCCTTTGTCCCCTTCTACCTCACTAACCTGTGCCCTCCCCTTGACATCACTGCTCAGAAAGCGAGGTCAGCATCGTGCCTGGCGGCCATGCCTTTGGCCTCTACTTTTTCGAGGACGTCAGGGGTGCACTCTGCAGGGTGCGTGGGTTTCCCAGCCGCTCTCACCTGTCCTGTGCGGTGTCCTCTGCAGACAGGGTGGTTCCGGCCTCAGAGGACCTTGTCTTTGGTTTGCCTTTGCTTTCTGCTGCTGTGAAGTCTGTCACAGCCGTCCCCCTTGCCCTGGGCTGTCCAGATGGCCACGTGAGCAGCCTCCCCAGGACTCCGCAGCTGTCTGTGTCCTGTCTCTGGCTCTGGGGCCACGACCTGGCTTCACTGCGAGCTCTTGTTGGCGAACGCAGACATCTCCAGGGCAGGGAAGATGCCTGGCTCTCTCCAGCTTGTGGGGCTGGTCCTTTTTTTTTTTTTTTTTCCCCTGTCTTTTCAAAAGACTATGCCAGTCTCTGTTCAGGGCAGAAGAAAACTGGCCCCCAGGGCAGCTGGTCAAGTGTGGGTCCACCCGCTCTGGCTACTCTGATGGCCAAAACATTCAGATGGAAGTGGGAGCCAG